GTTTTGATTATAACTGCCTTGTAGTATGTCCTGAAATCTGGTATTGTGGGAGAGAAAACATGCCGCTCTTTGTTTTTTCTCCTCTAGTTTGACAGGTACATTTTCCCCCACGGGGCTCAAAGCCGGATTCCCTCCAGGCTCTTCCTGAAGCTTTTTTTCACCAGTGGCTTGGGCTGCTGCAGTCTGGCCTCCCCTCGCTCTCAACGCTGGTGCAGAGGCTCTCAGCTCTGGGGTCCTAAGTTGTGTGTGTCCTCGCCCTCGACGTAGGTCCGCTGTGTCCCTCCAGTTTACGTAGTTTCCTCTGCTGTTTTCTCCCTAACTCTTCCCTGAGACTGTAATCTTTCCACTTTTTTTAATCTGTCTTCTCCTACACTCAAGCAGCAAGCACCCTCCCTACTCCGCCATCTTAATCCTATCATCACATTTCTATATACTAATAACAAATGTAAGAACACGAAATTAAAATCACCATGCCATTTACAATTGCTCTAAAGAAAATGAAACACTTAAAAATCTAACAAAACATGTGGAATTTGTGTCCTGAAACATGTATAGAATTTAAATCCTAAAAACTATAAGATGCTGATAAAAGAAATTAAAGGAGGAAGAGAGGAACCCTAATGCCTGCTTTGGACTGTTCAATGAACCAGAAACAAATTTGTCATGCCGAAAATAAAAATTACAGAAGACCAAGAACAAATGAAGATACAGAACATGATCATAGCTTGGAAGACTCAAAATTTCAACGAGTGATTTTGAATCAGATCAGCTGGAGCAAGATATAGGTTTAGTTATTTGGAATATAGATTAAATGAAATTATTATCTAGCATGGAGCATAGAGAAAGGCCAAGAGAAAGGGTAAGAGACACGGAATTAATATGTATCCAGTTAGAGAGTTAGAAAAGGAAGGAAAGAGGGCAGACAGTTTCTGGGGATAATTACTAAGAATTTTCCATTTCCAGTGAAAGACCCTAATCCACAGACTTAGGAGACCTTGTGATCCCAACATTATGTAGACAAAAGAAAACTGCAGAGCAACCAGAAAATTACAGATTACCTTCCCAGGAGTGGCAGTTAGACTTACAGAAGGACTGCTGTGATTTGGATGTGTTTTGTCCCCAAAGGTGCTAGAAGCTTGGTCCCCAGTTTAACGCAGTGGTCGTGATACAGCTGAGAGCTGGGGCCCAGTGGGTTTTGTTGGCACCACCCTCAGAAGGGATTAACTCCCATCTGGCTGGAGTGGGTAAGGTCTCTCGGGACTAGACTGGTTACAGGGAGAGCCAGTTGTCAGTAAGAACTGCCCCAGGCATTTGACCTCTTCTGTGTAGTCCACCAGCCATACTCACACCTGTCCCCGTGTCCCCACACCCACCATGTTGTGGCATAGGAGGCAGGCCCTTCCCAGAGGCTGAACAAAAGGGCAGACCCAAGTTTGGACTCTAGGCCTCCAAAACGATTATAATCACATATATACATATAATATATAATATATATAATATATATATATACCTAGTCTCAGGTATTTTGTCATAGCAACCCAGAATGGACTAAAACAGTGACACTGCAGCACCAACAAGGGAAGCAGAGGAAGCAGCTTCCTGAAGCTGCTTGCAGCCAGTCGTTTTCTCCCCAGTGAGACTCTCTTTCAAGAATGCGGGTCAGGCCCAGGGTGACGTCAGTAGGTGAGGGAGAGTCTACGAGGTGACTTCTGCAGGGGAGTGACTGCCAGGTAGGAGGCCCGATGTGCAAGGAGCAGGAAGCCCACGGGAAAAGGCAAATGCACGGGCAAGCGCAAATGAGCCTCGGCGTGTGAAGCGGGGCAGTAAGATCCAGTAGGACTGGGGGGAAATAAACATTGAAAATGAAAACAGCAACAACAAATACCCGGCGGGGGGGTGGGTAGTGAGTGGATGTTACTGGGGGAGATTAACGATCTAGATTGACTTTGGATAAAAGATTGTGTATGTAATTTATAGTCTGAGAGAGAAAAACATTAAATAGTAATTATCCAGAGAGGAAAAGAGAATCAAAGAAACAGAATGTGTGTGACAAAAAGAAAGCAAAATACCAGCGTTCACATTAAGTAAAAGTCAGTAGTTGTCAAACTTGAGCAAAAGTTTCTTAACCCAGCTCTAGGTTATGTATAAAAGTCTCGCCCAATTCAGAAGTGCAGAAAGGTTAAAAATAACAAGAGAGAAACAATGTGCCTTGTGTATTCTAACCAAAATGAACCTTTTGAAGCTCTATTATCAGACTGCAAGCAAAAGGAAAAAAATTACTAGAGATAAAGAGCCTGGTAAAAGTTATAAATGGGTATACTCTTGATTACACATCCTTGAAAGAACCAAATGGAAGAAAGAAAAGCCATAGTGGAGGATTTTAACATCTCTCTCGCTATTGCTAATAAAGCAGACAAAAAACTCAGTGAGATCATAGTTTTGAGCAAAGCAATTCATGATCCCAGCTGAATAGAGAGAGCGTTGCACCCAGCAAGCAGAACACACACTGGGATGTAAAGCAGGCGTCAACACACGCCGAGTGATCGCTTCCAGTGTAAGAGCAGCTCCAACTACAGTGCAGCTAAGCTGGAGATCCGCAACAGAAAGACACCCCACGTCACTGCGTGTGTATTTGGTAATTAGGAAAAGCACTTTCAAATAACGCACAGATCAGGGCAGGCGCAGTGGCTGCAGTGGGTTAGGCTGCCTCCCGGGTGCTTGCATCCCATACTGGGGGCCTGGAGTCCCTCGAGCCCTACCTCTGCTTCCCATCCAGCCTCCTGCTGATGCATCTGGGACACAGTAAATGCTGGGTGTGGTACTCGAGTCCCTGCCGCCTACATGGGAGACCAGATGCAGCCCCTGGCCCCTGGTTTCAGCCTGGCCCTGTCTGGGCTGTTGCAGACAGTTGGGGAGTAAAACAGCAGTTGAACGATTCTCTCTCTCTCCCTCCCTCCCTCCCTCCCTAACTCTGCCTTTCAAATAAATCAGTCTTTTAAAAAATTTCCCTCTAAGCACATCTGTATGTACTATTTTGTTTGCAGGATTTTCTGATTTCCATTATTATGTGTATTCTGATCATGACATATTGTTTATTTGAAAGGGAGAGAGAGGAGAGAGAGAGAGAGTGTCTTCCATCCACTGATTCACTCTCCAAATGCTCCCAACAGCCGGAGCTGGGCTGATCCGAAGCCAGGAGCCAGGAGCTTCTTCCAGGTCTCCCACATGGGTGCAGGGGGCCAAGGACTTGGGCCATCTTCAGCTGTCTTCCCAGGTGCATTAGCAGGGATCAAGATTGGAAGTGGAGTAACCAGGGCTCCAACCAGCACCCATATGGGATGCCAGCACCACAGTCAGTGGCTTCACCCACTACACCATGCACTCTGGCCCCATAAGGAATTTCAATTAAGTAATTAATTTTTATTCATTTGAAAGGCAGAGAGACACACACATGGAGAGATCTCCCATTCCCTGGTTCCCTCCCCAAATGGCTTTCTGCAAGCCGGGCACCATATCCAGGTGTCCCAGGAAGCTGTAGCTGGAAATAAAACCTAGTCGGCACTATGGGATGCAGGTGGCCCTGTGGCGTCTAACTGCTGAGCAAACACGCACCCGCCAGGGGAACACTTTGCAGCCTGCACTGTGTATAGCAGGAAAGAAGAACAAGACAAACTGCAAGTTAATTAGCTGAGCGGACATTAACAAGCACAGCAGAATGGCATCAAGAGAGCAGGACAAAACTAATAAAAATGAGAGCGAGAGTTGGTGAGATAGAAAACAAACATTCAGTTGGAAAAAAAAGCAGTATGCCAAAAGTTGGTTTCTTGAAAAGACTAGCAAAGTTCCAGACCCCGAGCAACACTGTGCAAGGGGAAGGTCAGGAGACGCCTCCCGCAGCAGCCGTGAGGAAGGCGTGAACAGATCGGAGCCTGTCACGGGGCTCCTGCCGCCAGCAAATGTCAGCCGGAGATGTCGTGGACCAAAAAAACACTAGAAAAATCTGAGCTGCCAAAAATTGTAATTAGGAAATGGTCATCTGAATCATCTTCTAACCATTAAATGAGTTAAATCAGTATTCAATTCTGCACTGATTAAACGCTGTCTCCTAAGATTACAATGGCGAGTTCTAGCAAACATTCAACAAGTGTTAGTTCCGCCCTTACACACAAGCCCGCTTAGAGCTTAGGAAGAGAGGGGACTCCCTGAGAGTTTTTTTATGAGGCTGGAATCACCTTGATACCGGAACCTGGTTAGGACAGAGAGAGAAAGGAAGAATACAGAACACTTCAAAAACAAAACAAAAAAATGAACCCATCAATGCATTAAAAAACAAAACCAAAAAAACCAGATCATTGTCCAGACCAAGTTAGTTTTACCTCAGGAATACATTGCTGGTTTAAGATCAGAAAATTAATCAATATAATCCACTCCATTAACTGGCTCAAGGGGAAAAACCACACCATCATTTCGAGTTGCAGCAGAAGCATTTGATAAAAGCCAACATTCGTCTGCGAGAGAATCCCTTAAACCAGGAAGAGCAGGAGTGTCTCCCGAAGTGACATGTTTGTCAGGATGGGCTCAGCTGGGCTCAGCAGCTGATCCCTCAGCTTCGGGGGCTTAGCGCCATGCAGCGCGTCTCTCAGAAGCCCCAGGGTTCCCAGCAGCACAGGCCCGTCTGTTCCCTTAGCCACGCTCTCTTTGGGACACTGCTGGCCCATCACCCACCGCACCTGGCTGTGCTAAATCCCATCCCCTCCCCTTCCTGCCCATGCTGCTGTGTGGAACCCCGGCCTGGGCGTGCTCTCACTGGAGATGCTACTCTGGGTTGTGGGAGCCTGGAGGGCAGGCCCGTGGTGGCAGAGGTCACCCTGGAGCTGACCCTCCCGGGGGGAGATGCCTAGGCCTGCTCCCACTCGAGCTGAGGCCCGGAGGCTTTGAGTACCCGCCTGAATCCTGGCTGCCGGGTGGCACCTGCAACACCTCTGCTCTCCCTTGCTCAGGAAAATACCAGGTGGTCGCGGGGATCGTCTCTCCCGTCAATGACAGCTACAGGAAGAAAGACCTTGTGGCCGCCCGGCACCGAGTGGCCATGGCACGGCTGGCCCTTCAGACGTCCGACTGGATCCGAGTGGACCCCTGGGAGAGCGAGCAGGCGCAGTGGATGGAGACGGTGAAGGTGCTCAGGTAACGGCATGCTCCTGCGGGTATGACGGTGTGACGTTTGCACAGCGCACTGGGTGACAGGGCTGTAGTGTTCCCCGGGGTGCGGCTGGACCTTTGCAGCCAGCACCTGGGGCGGGAGGGACCAGCAAAGTCACCTCTTGAGACGGGTCCCGAGCAGCACTGCTACAAACCATTGTCTCTGGGGGCACGCTTGGTGCCAGCACCCACCCAGTCTCGCTTCAGAGGCTGAGCCGCTGGGCCTAGGCCACCACTCCCTCTTCTCCACTCCTGGGATTATCTACAGATCCTGGATTCTCTAGATTCAGTAGGGAGCAAAAAGACTACACCTAGAAATGGCTGCCTGGGGTTTTCTCCTGAGTCATCACTATTCGTGTTCAGCGTGAGTGGTGCGGGTGTTGAGAAGCCCTGGGTCAGCCCCGCAGGTAGGACCACGGGTCCCCAGCTGGTGTCAGAGTTTGCCAGAGAAGCAGGAAGTTCCAGGAGGGGATTGTGGGCAGGCCTGCCTCATCACCTGTGATAGCCAGCTCGGCCGGGAGGAATTGCGGGCTGTGGGCTGTGTCTTTTCTCCATGTGGATGTGGTGGGAATGGCTAGGAATGGAGGCATGAGTGTCAGAGTGGAATGATTGGCAGGCTGGTTCATCGTGTGCTTTGGTTTTCACTGTTTTCTTACTTCAGAGTCACCTGGGAGGCAAACGCTTCCTTTGTTGGCTCAACGAAGGTGAGCGCGTTGTTGCCATGTCCTGGTTCTCACTGCTTATCTTTTGTAAGGGAAAGAACCATCTAGAAGCACTCGTGGTTATAGTGTGGCTTCCGAGCCATTGCCAAACCAAAAGAACAAATGGGACGTGAGTGTGAGGGTTCACACTGCCTTTGCTTTAAAACAGTCATCGGTGTAGACAAGGACGCATGTACCGGAAGTTACACATGGAATCAATGTACAGCCAGATCACCCTTTTACAACAAGGCACACAGTCCTCTCTTGTTTATTGCACACAGAGAAACAGCAGAGAGAGAGGAGCCCCCATCTGCTGGTTCATTCCCCAAATGCCCACAAGGCCAAATCTGGGGGACCCCAATTTAGGTGTCTCACGTGGGTGGCAGGAGCCCAACTCCTTGGGTCGTCAGTGCCACTTCCCAGGATCCGTGTTAGCAGGAAGCAGGAATGCAGGGGCAGGAGTGGAGGCCACATGCTCCCGTGAGGGACACAGGTGTGCTAACGAGGGACTGAATTGGCTGAGCCAAATGCCACCCCCATTAGCTGTAGTATGCCCTCAGAAAGGGAAGCTTGCTTCCCCACCCGCGAGAGGCTGTGTTACCTGGGCACAGGTGTCTGGGTGACTGGATGTAAGTGGCTTAGCCCCCGTGAGCCACGGCGCCTCACCTACCGGGATGAGGATGGTGTCACACAGTGGGCCGCTGTGATAGAAGTGGGCAGAAGACCTCGTTTACAATAGGATCTTGATAACCCACCTTCCCTGCATCCGTAACTCCAGCCCAGTCTCCCCGACAGGCAGAGTGGGTCATAGTGCCGTTCAGAGGAGTGAGGCTTCTGCTGTGATGTGCAGCCGTGAGCCCAGGGCCGCCTGAGCATGCACTTTCTTGGCTTACTCTGTCCCTTAGTCCAGTGCATCTCAGTGCTGGCTGTGCATTGGTGTCAGCGGGGAAAACTTTTACAAAAAGTCCGATTCCCTAAGTGTTATTCAGAGACTGGGTGTCATTGGCCTGGGTGGGACCTTGGGACTTAGTTTTTTTTTTTTTTTTAAGATTTGTTTATTTGAAAGGCAGAGGACACAGAAAGAGAGACACACATAGCAAGAGGGGGGGGGTCTTCCGTCTGCTGGTTCACTCCCCAAATGGCCACAACGGCCAGGGCTGGGCCAGGCCAAAGCCAAGAGCCCAGAACTCCATCTGGGTCCCCCACATGGATGGCAAGGACCGAGGTTTTTGGGCCATATCTGCTGCCTTCCCCAGCACACTGGCAGGGAGCTGGATTAAGAGCACCCTGTGGGTTCTTCTGCGTGGCCTTAGTGAGGGCCCTGGAAGCAGGTGACGGACGCTGAGACCCACCCAGAGAAGCTCTCAACCCCTGCTGCGGGGATTGCCAGGGAAGCTTTTTGAACATGCTCCCCCTACCCTGGCGGTTTTTATTTGTCTTGCATGAGCTCTAAGCTTGGTTGTTTTTAAATCCTGAATGATACATTGTGTGTGCGAATCATGGAGTAGACACAGTTTTAACAGAGAGCTGATGACTTTCCAGGGATCGGGAACCTGGCTACAATTGCAAGGTCGAGTGATTCTAGAAGCACGGTAGAAATCCGCCCCAGCGTTGGCTCCATTTAGCAGCACCCTGACTGGGTCAACATCGGTTTCTATCCGTAGTGTGACAAGTGGCTGTGGGACCTCCTGGGGGTGCTTTTTCTCCTTCTCAGGTAGCTAAGTTTTAAAAAAGCCAGGCCAACTCTCACTCCTGTAGGCAGTTGGTAACTTACTCTACTCACTCTTCCCCCGGTGTTGGGGGCAGGGCCGTGCGGCATGGTCAGTCGCCCCCTCCTGCCCCTCACCACCCTGCTGGACCCCAGGGTAAACACGATCTCAACATTGTCCTCATTCCACAGATACAAAGACTCAGGCTCAGAGAGGTGAAGCTGCTCACAGCCACACTGCAAGGGAGCAGGAGGCGGGGCTTCCCTGGAGTCCAGGGGACTGCTGAGGACACAGAGAACATGCTGCCGGGGGCGACTCCCAGGCCCTGGGCTGGCCACCCTCAGCCGGGCAGCGAGAGGAAGCAGTGCCCACCACCCCGCAGAGACAGAGCAGAAGTCCACGGGGAGGGAAACGCACTTGGTACTGAAAGTGATCATTCGCACCCCAGTGTTCAGAGATAGCAGCTACCACTGGAGTGAGGCAAACTGGAGCGAGGAGCCTCACGGTCAATCAGGTGACAGTCCCCACCTTCCAGTGATCACCTGTTACCTGTGCCAGGCACCGTCCTGTCTGCGCGGGCCAAGGCTGCCCCAAGTGAACCTCACAGTGGTCTCTAGGGTGGCCCTGCCCTCAGCCGCCCATTCTGCAGATGAGGAAACTGGAGGCGATTGCTCCAAGGTGGCGCAGCCACTGCTGGGAACCAGCACTCCAACCCAGGCAGCCTAATCCTGGACTTGGCCTGTACCCACACCTCTCCCAGTGACACCCAGCAGCAGCCACTTCCCCAGCACACGGCCAGGTAGAAGCCTAGTCTCATTTGTGGTCTCGCCAGTGACTCGTCCAAGGTGACACAAGCAGGGGAGGCTGAACTTGAACCCAGCCACACTGTTCTCTCCCAAATAGAGCTGTAGTAACTGCACCACCACGCAGTGAGTGCAGGTGCAAGAGCAGATTAAACAGGAAAGGGCGTTCAGGGCACACCTGTGTTGGGTTTTTAAAAGAGGATGATGGTGATGATGATGATGACACAGGGATCTCGATTTGTAGAAAGTGATGGCTTTGAAAGCTGGGCATGCCAAACTGGGGTCAGTCTGGAGACGCCTGAGACACTCAGTGCCAACTCCTGTCATCTTGAGCGCTGCCCAGTAGAGGGGGCACCACCCTTGCTCCTCACTGCAGGTGCAGAGAGCCATGCACACAGGGACCAGAAATCATGCACCTGGGGTCACACAGCCGGCCAGGTCCTCAGGCCCTGGCTCTCAGCTACCTGGTCCATCCCAAAGCACTGGCTTGTGATGGGAGCAGGCATCTTTTCCGAGCGCTGACTTGTGCCCATGTTTAGTGTATCTAGCTCATTTCCCTTCACCATGGTCTTTAAAAACCAGGTGTCGGGGCTGGCGCCGTGGCTCACTTGGTTAATCCTCTGCCTGCGGCACCAGCATCCCATATGGGCACCGGGTTCTGTCCCGGTTGCTCCTCTTCCAGTCCAGCTCTCTGCTGTGGCCCAGGAGGGCAGTGGAGGATGGCCCAAGTGCTTGGGCCCTGCACCCCATGGGAGACCAGGAAGAAGCACCTGGCTCCTGGCTTCGGATTGGTGTGGCGCCAGCCGTGGCAACCATTTGGGGAGTGAACCAGCAGAAGGAAGACCTTTCTTTCTGTCTCTCTCTCACTGTCTATAACTCTACCTGTCAAAACAAACAAAAAAAAACAAACAAAAAAACAGCTGTCATTCCCCGGACTTTCCAGATGAATGCTTGCATTTCGAACTCAGGACTTTGTGACCCTTAATCCCTGCTCAAGCCTGACTCCTGTGTCTCTTGGGTGAGAAATAGTGAAGAAAGGTTTGAGTGGGTAGATGTATGCTGTCTCCCCCCTTCCCCCCAGGCGGCACAGGCAGAGTTCCCAGCAGTGGCTTCTGGCAGTCTTGGCACCTGCCACGATGCCTGGCACACAGGGGGCCCCCACCAAATGTGGAGTAAGCAAGCTTAAAATGTACAGAAGCAGGTCGAGGCTTCCAGTCGGAGCTCCCCGGGTGGCTTTGGGGGCTGCAGGACAGACGCACCCTGAAGCCATCTGTTCACACCGCAGGCACCACCACAGGCAGCTGCTCCTGTCTTCAGCCCCGGCGGAAGGCCTGGACTCCATTGAGGCCCTGGCCCCGGCCCCAGCAGGTAGGTGCTGAGCTCGTCTGTGGGGGGCTGACATGTCAGGGATCCACATGGGAGGCGTGGGGTGCGGCCTTCCGGACACAGACAGGGACCTCCTGGAGGCCCAGTGGCCTGGGTGACCGCCAGGGTCAGGCGGTCGGATTACTCAGCAGTGGGCCGTCCACTGTAAGCTGGTGCCCGTCTGGGAGTTGCCGTCCCACAGGCGTTGAGCTGGCCCACAACTTGGGCTCATGACATGGATTATAGTCAGGGCCTCCCTGGGATAAACTGGTACCATTAGCCCTTTATACTACAAAACTGAACAGAGGGGCTGGTGCTGTGGTGTAGCCGGTTAAACCACTGCCAGCAACACCCCCATCAAATGTGGGCACCAATTCAAGTCCCAGTGCTCCACCGCCGATCCAGCTCTCTGCTGTGGCCTGGGAAAGCAGTAGAAGATGGCCCAAGTCCTTGGGCCCCTGCACACACTTGGGAGACCCGGAAGAAGCTCCTGGCTCCTGGCTTCAGATCAGCTCAGCCCTGGCTGTTGCGGCCATTTGAGGGGTGAACCAGCAGATAAAAGATCTGTCTCTTCCTCCTCTTCCTCTCTCTCTCTCTCCTCTGCTTTTCAATAAATTAAACAAATCTTAAAAAAAAAAAAATCAAATTGAGGCCTACTGGGGGGTGTGTTTCAGCCCCGGAGTGAGGGCCTAAAAAGGAAGAAGTGATATCGAATCAGCTGACAAAATGTGTGTTGCATTCCTCTGGTCTCCCCCTGCCTCCCCGCCATGCCCGGGGCAGGCTCTGCCCCTTCTATGTCCAGGCGTGAGCACCATGCCCAGTGTCCACCGTCAGCCTCTCTCCTTTCTGCATCATCTCTGGCTTAGCTGGCACTTCTGAGAGAGCTCTGCCAACCCTCCCTGAGCACGTCCCCGAGTGAGCCCGGGGCCCAGCCCCTGCCCTGAGCCTGAGCCAGGCTGTGGATGGAGGTGAGGCGGGCAGGCATGCGTGAGGAATCCTGCTCTGAGGAGGGGACCCCACCAAGACCTGCTGGGTGAGCGTGGTTGCTGAGGCTGGAGGCGTCTCGAGGCACATGTGGGCCACTGGGCCCCTGGAGAATTGCAGGGCCTCCCGGGAGAGGCAGGCAGCAGCAGAGTGGCCTGGAGACAGCGGGCGGGCGCCCCAGCCCTCACCCGTCACCTCCCGTGGGCGCTTGCAGTAAAGTTCCTGCCTGGGCATCTGGCTAAGGAAATCAGCAGCTACTGGGACAAAGACTGGCGCAGAAGGCTGTTTATCACGCAGCTTCCAGCTGAAGCACAAAGCGCCGTGTGTGTAACTTCTGCGTCCACGTAGGGATGAGGAGCCACAGGAAAGGTTCTGAGGGCCTGGAGAAGCATTTGGAAGGCAGTGGGAGCAACTGGGCAACGATCCTGCAGCTCTGGTCTCCAGCTGCACACAGGAAGTGGGAACCTGTTCTCACATCTGTTTCCTGTCTAAGTCACCGGGAGAGCCCAGGAGCCGTCCGGGAATACTGCAGGGCATTGCAGCAAGCAGACTCCTAGCTGCTGTGTGGCTTTTCTGCTTTCAGCACTCACATCTTTCCATGCGTTCTTGTGTTCTTCGCAGAGGAACGACACAGGACCCTGCGCTGTTCTTTTGTCTGCTCGGCCCTTCCCGGGTTTGCTGCTGGTTCTTCCTGGGTTGGCTACCCACCCTTCCACCTCCGTGGAAGGGCGGTTCCCCCTGCCACTTTCCCCACTTCCGCGGGGGAGCGGCACACCGCCGGCCGGCTCTCTCGGGGGCTGCTCAGGTGTTCCTTCAGATAGATGTTCCTGGTGCATGTTGTCTCTCTCCTCCTTTATAGTCCTCTTCCACCAATCCCAACTCTGCTACCCACATGCCGAGTACGCTGCTCTCCTCCAATCAGGAGCAGCTCCTGCTGTTTATTGGTTGAACTGGAGGCAGCTGTGTAGAAGCTGTTTCCTCCTCTCCCAGCGCCATATTGTGGGAGAGCAGATGCATACAATAAGTCTTAATTCGAGTAACTTAGTCTAGTCTGAGTTGCTCCCCACAGTGTTTGTGTGTATATGCACATGTGTGTGCGTGTGCGTATGCACATGCATGTGTGTTCCTGTGGACTGTTGTGCTCTGGGCTGGGAACCACCCGCTGAGCACCGTCTCTGGCTGCCAGAGTGAGTTTGGCAAGTATACAGGCTGCTGGTGCTGGTCGTCCACGGCTGGGGAGACTGAGCTGCAGAGAAGGAGCAGGCCTTACCTGGCGCCTGCACCACCGAGGCCAGGCTCCTCCGCCACACTCCGACCCTCTGGCCCAAACCAAACCTGCACAGCATGTTGTCCCCCAGCCTGGGGTAGCCCTGAAACTCCTCCCACCCGAGGCTTCCTGAGCCAGCGCCCTTGGGAGCCCGGCCTTTGCCTCTTCCAGGAATCCGTTTCCAGAAGGGCCAGAGATCCTGACGCTTGCTGGTAGCAGGCACTAGGATTTTTCTCTTCCAGATTAGCCCAGCGCTGGGAGAGTCACAGCCCAGCTGGAACTCAGCCTTCCAGCCAGGGTTGGCTCAGTCCCGGTGCAGTACGGATTCCTGCCAGCAGGCGGCGGCAGAGCCCAGCAGTTACAAATGCCCCGCCCGCAGGCTGCCTGGCCACCTGGGTGCTTCACTGTCCATGCAAATCTGCCTCCTGTCCCAGGATCTCCCCGTCCACAAAATGGACACGCTGATACCACCTCATGAAGTTGTCCTGAGAGTCAGCAGGTGTTAGAAAGCACTTGTCGACGGTGCAGATAGTAAGCACCCCGAGCATTGTCTTAGAACAAGTTCCAAAGGAATTTCCACCTTAATCACTGGTTCTAGAGAAACTGCCACGGAAAGGTCACAGCTGGTAAGGTGACCCAAAGAGCCCTTATAGTAATTTCCTTGAGATGTAACTTCAAGTATTTGAAAGGCAGAGTCACAGGGGCAGGCGAGCTTCCAGCTGCTGGTTCACTCCCCCAGTGGCTGCGATGGCTGGGACTGGGCCAGGCTGAGCCAGGAACTCCATCCAGGTCTCCCGTGTGGGTGCAGGGGCCCAAGCACTCGGGCCATCTTCCGCCGCCTTCCCAGGCCGTGAGCAGGGAGCTGGGTGGGAGGTGGAGCAGCCGGGCTGGCATGGGTGCTCACAGGGGATTGTGGTGGTGGCAGGAGGCGGCTTAACCCGCTGCACCTCGACGCCGGCCCCTGTGGTAAGTCTTTAGGATGACATTCTGTATAAAAGAACCAGGTCCCGGGTTCTAAGCGCATTTCAGGCGCGCAGTGAGCTGGCCGAGGCTCTCAGCTTGTTGGTCATAGGGCATGCAGAACTTCTCCTATCAGAAACTGGGACTCCTGGCGCACACAGCCGTGGGAAGCCTCTGCCGTTCTCCCAGGCAACGGGAGCCGAGAAAAGCATGCGGTGCGGGTGTCCCCCGAGGACCCCTGCATAACGTGCCGGGCGCCGCCCCTGTCTCCGCAGCCACGCCCGAGCTGAAGCTCCTGTGCGGGGCAGACTTCCTGAAGAGCTTCAGGGTGCCCAGCCTCTGGGAGGACGCGCACGTGCAGGAGATCGTGGGCAAGTTCGGCGTGGTGTGCGTGGGCCGCGCCGGGCACGACGCCGAGGCCTGCGTGGCGGACTCGCCCATCCTGCGCAGGCACCGCCACAACATCCACCTGGCCCACGAGTCGGTGCTGACCGCGCTCAGCGCCACGTACGTGCGCCGGGCCTTGGCGCGGGGACGCAGCGTCAAGTACCTGCTGCCCGACGCCGTCCTCGCCTACATCCAGGCGCACGGGCTGTACGGGGCGGGCAGCACGAGCTAGGGCGCGCGTTCTGCTCCGTGGGGCTCTTTTCCAGTTTCCACTGGTTGTCTTCCCGCGGGGACTCTGCTTTCCGGGAGAGACGCATTCTTTGGAGGAGCAGAACCCGCCTCCGATTCCAGGACAGACTTTGCCCACGGATGTGAAAGCCGCTATCGTGGACCGGGGTCGTCATCTGGCGGGTGGGGGTGTGCTGGGTGCAGGAGACGCCCTGGTTGGAGCACCTGATGCTAACGGAAGCGTCAGAAACCTGACCCTTCTCCCCCTGCAACCCAGCCTGCCCTGCGCACTGGCCTTGCCGAGAGAAGAAGTATAGAAGATGGAATGAGGAAGAAAGAAAGAAAAAAAGAAACTAACCTTTTAGTAAGCAGTGATCCTCGGGCCCTGTTTTTGATCTGGCGACCTGGTTTTTAACACCGCTCAGCCGCGCATGCCCAGGCTCGTGATTTCCAGGTTTCTGGAGAGGAATTGAGGCAAAACAGCTGCCTGCCTGTTCGACAGGATCTGTCTGAATGTTTTATGACTGCCTGGCTGTTTGAATATTGGCAAAGCGATAAATAATAAATTGACATCAAAAAGTATTAATGAAAAGTTTCTCTCTTTTCTTCCTTTGTTATATTATTAATGCCCTGGTGTACCAGCTGTTGCTCTATTTTTTTTTTTTTAAGCTGCTCCATGAAATTTGCCACTGTTTTAATCAGACCGGCCTGAATTTAAAAGTCCGTGTGTCCCATACTTGGAATGGAGGGAGCGATTGCTTTTCGGCCCCGTGCGTGCGCTTTTCCCATCTGATGCGCACTGGTTCCAAGGCTGTGCCCCCGCGGAGACTCCACGATGAGAACAGGGGTCTCACGTGTGATCAGGACTCGGCATTCCGCCTCCGTGTTAAGGAAGGGTTTGCGTTGGTCTGACTGCATTTGCGTTTATTCTTTAAGCTTGCTGACCAAAGGCTCAGGGTCGCCGCACACCCTGGCCTCTCGGAGCTGACAAAGGGAGGCTGGCCGTGAGAGCGAGCTGCTGCTACCATGACAGTGCCGCAAAGCTGGGATTCATTTATTCACATGGTATTTACTGAGCACTCCCCGTTCCAGCACCCCTGGTGCATCAGTGAGCAGAGCAGGCACAGCCCCCACCCTCAAGAAGCCCTTGGGAGTAGACAGGTGTCAGTCTCACAGCTGCACCTGCCGGCACAGCCTCGGCGAGGGCTGCGGGGCAGGTGCACGGCGGGGTCTGACAGCCAGAGGCAGAGGGCTCACCACAAGGCCGGGAAGCTGCAGCCTCTGTCTTACCCAGGCCCTTCCTGATAACCGGGAGGGGCCCTCGTGATGTGGTGCGCAGCTTCCAGTTTATCAGTGTTAATCATTTTTTCTCAAAAAAAAAAAAAAAAAAGGCCTTCATGTTTGAAGGTTTAGACTCCATAAAATGGATTTGTTCTGTTGGCAGTGTAGACGGCAGGGAAGTGAGGATGGATTTGAGACCTGATAGATGGAGTCACAAGACTTGGGGATGGGTGGAGGCAGCTGGTTTTCAGAAAGCAGGGACAGCATGTACAAAGGCCCTGAGGCAGGAAGGGGGCAGAATGAGCAACATGATGAGCTGGATTAGTCCTCACCTCCCTAAGAAGGGGTTGATGACATCGTGCACAGGGGTATCCTTGCATTCATCCCACTCCCTGTCCAGCCTCCCCATGGGCTCAGGCGTACCCAGGCTTGGAGCTGGTGCTATGGCTTCCTTGATCCATGTCTGCCACAAGCATCTCACAACAGGCAAAACCTCAATATCCGAGCCTTTACGTCATCTCTGTCTGAAATAAAACAGCACCACAGTCAAACCTACTGTAAGAGATGTGCACACGTGTGTGTCCACACCCGGGGCATACATGCATATCTTCGTTTCGTGCTCACTCTGTCTCATTGATTCATGAGGAATCAGAAGAGAAAATACGTCTCGGCGCTGAGGCTGCAGTGCGCACACCTGTTTCGCATTCCACTCCCTTCCCCCAGGTCTCCTTTGCCTCTAGTTTGCCAGAGAGTTTTGTTGATTTTTGCAAGAACAGAGAAACAGCGGTTTGGGCTCCTGGGTAAATACAATTTCCAGCCTTAAATAAAAGTTCTTCTGCGATACACACGCTTTCCAAACGGCGGGAACTCTGTATCCTGGCCTGAGGAAAAAAATTTTCATTTCTAATACTGTCTCTGTCACTTGGGACGGAGTGAGGTGAAATTCCATTTTCAACAGCCAGCGCTCGGCCGTGCCAGGTGCGTTGGGTAATTGGGTGATTGCGTGGCTCCGAGTCTCCGTTCCCAGGGCCCACCCTCCTCCTGCGCTAACCCTGTCTCTGCCCTTCCGTCTCGCGGGAGTTCCCGTGCACAGACTGTGTTGCGTTTCAGTTAGGAAGTGATTTTCTTGGACCATGTGCATGACTGATAAACAGCCCATAACAGTGCAGCCAGGCCTGCGGCCCAGAATTGTTTAGTGTTGTTAAAATAACCTCGGGGTGGGCCTTGGCACTGCAGGCTGCGAGGACTTGGAAGGGACCCCAAAGTTCATTCATTCACTGCATTTCCAAATTCTCTAACGCGGAGGTCCACCCATGAATGGAAGTTTCACTGCGAAAACGTTGGCGCGTGCTGTCGACGATGGGAGACGCGTGGTCTTGCCTTCTGCTGTTGGACTCCAGCATGTGTCTGCTTGCCCCGTCACTCCTGCCTTCTACACATCCCATGTACGCCACTTCTCTTCAACACTTCTGGCCCCTCCTAACCCAAACAGCCATCAACTCTCCCCTCACCTCTGCCTGGCCTCCCAACAGATGCCAGCCCCCCCCCCGCCCCCCAGGCCCCTGCACTGCATCTCCACCTAGCACCCAGGCAAACCTGGTCATGTCGCTTCCTGGCCCAAACTCCTTCCAGGGCTGCCACTAAGATAATAAAAAAGACAGAGGGAGAGGCAGAGAGAGAGGTCTTCCATCTGCTGGTTCACTCCCCAGATGGCCGCAACAGCCGGAGCCAAGCCGATCCAAAGCCAGGAGCTTCTCCCAGGTCTTCCACACGGGTGCAGGGATCCAAGCACTTGGGCCATCTTCCACTGTTTTCCCAGGGTATGGCAGAGAGCTGGATAGGAAGTGGAGCAGCTGGGACTCGAACCAGCGCCCATATAGAATGCTGGTACTGCAGACGGAGGCTTTACCCGCTATACCACAGCACTGGCTCTGGGATTCAGACATATTTAAAAGGACTGACACATGCAGCAATGCGTTTGACCCTCAAAAGTGCACCAAGCGGGAGCAGCCAGAAGCTGAGGACCGTGTTCTGTATGACCCCGTGTGTATGAAATTTCTAGAAAAGGCAGAACAATAGAGGTGTGGAGCCAGTCGGGGGCTGTCTGAGGGCGGGCCCGGGGGAGTTCTGGGGGCAGCCGACCAGTTCTGAGGCCCGTGGTGATGGCCGCACAACTCTCGAACCTTACGAAAGCTCACCAAACTGCGTGCAGAATGGGCAGCTGGTGTGGGTGTGTAGTGTGCTGCAGTGAGGGTGTGGCAGAGAAGGCCTGTGCGGGCCTCAGCCTGCCCCAGGAGGGAGGGCCCCTGGCGGGGGAGGCAGGCAGTGGCCTGCAGCTCTGCCTCCTGCTTCCTGCCTGCTCCCTCCCCACACGCTTTTCCATTTCTCAGCCCTGCCTCTCCCTGTTTGGTGGGGGGGGTCCCTTCTCCATTCCTGCCCTCATCTCTGGCCCCAGCCCCTCACTGGGCCACCCTCTGTGCTCTGTCTCCACTGTGACCGCATCCTTGTAGGGTGGGAAGCTACTGCCTCTTCCTCCAGCACAGCTCCTGGCCCACTGCGGGTGCCCTACAAACACCTTACCAGCTAGTATCTGAATAAGCGTCTGCATAGCTCAGAGAAGCCCAAGATGCGCACATCTGAAAGGCAGGGAGACAGAGCCCTCGCCTCTGCTGGTTCACTCCCCAGATGCCTGCAACAGCCAGGGCTGGGCCGTGTGTGTGTGTGTGTGTGTGTGTGTGTGTGCGCATGCGCAGCACGGACCCAACTACTTGTACCATCAGTTGCTGCCTCCCAGGTGGTGCTAAATTAGCAGGAAGCTGGGTGGGAAGCAGAGGTGGCACCTGGACCAGGCACTTCAGCCTGGGATATGGGCACCCCACTTAAGCCCTGCAGCTGACAGCCATCCCAGCGCGCGAGTCAGGCTCTGTGTAAAGCAGCACCCGGAGTCCCCTTGTACACACAGACACTTGACAGTGGGCGGGACGTGACACGCGAGGCCACGGTCTAGAAGTTATCAAACTGGTTCTTTCCACCTAGCGTTTTCCTGCGAAAACAACGCTGCAGTAAACACGCTGGCGCAGAAACCCTGCCAGCCACTGCTTCCCAGGAGGGGCAGTGCTGGGCCCACTGCTAAGCGTACTTTCGGTGCTAAGGCAAGAGACTGGGCTGCAGTCGCTACCTTTTTTTTTTCTAAGTGGAATTTTGAGAAATAAAACAGCAGAATCTCGTGCAGCTGCCGGAATTCTCCAAAGCCGCTGTTGTCTTTGACAGAAGGCAAAGCAGACCCGTTTCTTCATTTCAGTGCGACAGCCTGGGGCACAGGCAGCAGCTCCCAGGCAGGCATTGTTCCAGTGTTTGCGGGGTACAAAACTCAAAGAGTTTTGGTTTTTGGTAACTCCTCAAACTAGCTTAAAACAGGGAGGTGGAGGGTCAGGGATCAAGAATGTCAGGAATGGGAGGGCAAATATGCAGGTTTCAGGAGAAACTAGAAAGCAAGAAAAAAAAAATCAAGTCCCCTCCCCCCTCTCCCTCCCCCCCCCTCCGCCTTTCCTCCTTCCCTCTCCCCTCTTCCCCTTCTCCTCCTCCCCCTCCCCAGACTGAGTTCCTGCACCCCCAGCAGCCTTCACACCTGCGCCTTCCTCACCCTCCACCCTCACCTCTGCTCTGTGCGAGGACTCAGGCGTGAAAGTGGAGCTGGGGGAGTCCGGCTTCCGGCTTCCGGCTTCCGGCTTCCGCAGGGGACGGCAGAGCACCGGGACAGCAGGCGGATTCTGCAGAGCAGCCAGGGTGGAGCATGGAGCCAGGAGTGGGGTCCCACGCCTCCTCCGCAGCCCTGGAGCCTCGTCTCATCCCTCACCGCCTCTCTGGAGCCCTCCTGTGACCCAGGCTCAGCCGGCTTCTCTGCAAAAGGGTGGCAAGCAGAACAAGTGGATGCTTGCGAGGTGCCCGCGTCAGGAGACCTGTCTCTCCTGACCCCCGCCCTGCCGGCTCCCTGCAGGGCTGGAAGAGACCCTGCCTCA